CATTTCTAATCTACCATAGAAGGCTGCAAAAGTATGATTACAAGCTAAATGCTCAATTAACTTGAGTGAATTATTTAACCGCAATTTAGTAAGGCTATTGGTGCATCAACTGGTCACTCTTATCACGCAATACCACTTTCATATCTTGGTTCATCGTAAATGGAATAAACTGCAACAAGTAATTGAACAGCAACAACCTTTTTGTAGGATGCTCTGGTAGCAGGGGGAGATGAATGGTTAACCATTAATAAATCAGACAAGAGTCACAGCTAACCTCAGCCCTTATATATCTCTTCGAAATTTGCGTAAAAGTTCCATTTGATCTTAAATTTGATTTTTTGAAAGCAAGCATACTAACTCAACTGTGGGGATCAGAGAGTAACTGCAGTTGTGAACGGCTACTTTGAATTTTAATTTTTTGAAAATATCCTGGATAATTTGTAAAATCGATAGATAGGATGTTTATTGAGAATAATGCAGATACGCAGTGTTTCTAAATTCCTACTCTTCAATGTTACGTTGCAAAATCCTGTTGTATTTTTGGTGGTCATTCGAGAAGATGAAAGTGATTTCTTCGTGTTTTAGGCTCTTGAGTTTGTTTGGGGCACCGATCCAAACATGTTCGCTGTACGTGAATCGGCAACGTCAATGAAGATCAAAAAGAATTTCAAGGTACTATTGCAATGTTGATGATGCCTGTCGTTAAAATCGAAGTGGTTCAGGATTACAAACAAATCCGCACTGATGTTGTAATGGAAGGCATTGACGGTGGACCACTACTTGCCGCCAGATCTGCCACTAGCTTATGCTTCTATGATTGGGAGACTGCACAAATGGTGCGACGAATAGAAATTGCCGCCAAACACGTGTACTGGAGTGACAGTGGAGAAATGGTATGCAACTAGTCCTACATATAAAGCTGTATTGATTTGCGGTTACTGATTTTTGGGGATTGCTTTAAGGTTGCCATTTGCGGCGACGATTCATTCTACGTGCTGAAGTACAATCCAGATGCATTTGCGAACGCCTCTCCTGAAGAAATTACTGAAGATGGCGTCGAGGATACTTTTGAAGTTATTGGTGAGTTGCTTACTTGTTCGAGACTGTATAAGAACTGTAATAGATTAGAAAATTTTTCTTCGCTTAAGTTTCTTGCCAAGAGTCACCTTAAGATTGTCTTTAAATTTTCCTGCAGGAGAACAGTCGGAAGGCGTCAAAACTGCGTTCTGGATAGGAGACTGCTTCGTGTTCACGACAGTTTTGAACAGACTCAACTATTATGTTGGTGGAGAAATTGTAACAATCGCACACATGGACAGACCTCTCTATTTGGTACATTTTTACCAGTCAGATGTTTCTTTTGATTGAATGGGCTGTTTAGCTTGGATACATGGCCAAAGAATCACGTGTTTATGCAGTGGACAAAGAGTTGAACGTTGTCTCATACAGATTGTTGCTTTGTGTTTTGGAGTACCAGACCGCTGTCATGAGAAGGGATTTTGAGACTGCTGACAAGGTCCGCAATGGGTCTAGTTATTTGCTTAGCCAAGTAGAGCGTTGATTGTTTATTCTTTTAAGGTGCTGGCTACAATTCCAAAAGAGCAACGTACCCGGGTAGCGCACTTTTTGGAGAAGCAAGGATTCAAACGTCAAGCTCTTGCTGTTTCACAGGATCCAGATCACAAGTAAGAACATGAGGACATGAGATAAGAATCATGCATAATGTGTTTTTGATTTTTCTGAATGCTTACTTCTTACATTTACTACTGATTTCAACTCAATGATGTAAAAATTTTTTCAGGTTTGACCTTGCTCTAGCTCTGGGAGACCTAAAAACTGCTTATGATCTAGCTTTGCAAGGTGACAGCGAAGAGAAATGGAAAATGCTTAGTCAGGTGTGGAATTCCAATGGGACGTGTCAGAGGGTATCAGTTTCATTTTGTAGGCTGCAACGCTGAAATCTGAACTTATGCTGGCTGGAGAATGTCTTGGTCGTGCAAGAGATTACGGCGGATTGCTTCTTCTAGCCACATGCGCTGGTTCTGCACCACTTTTGAGCAAGGTAAGGATGTCCCCATACTTCATAATGCTTATAAGCGCAATAAGAATCGGCCGATCGAGAGTGGGCGGCGGTTTCGTTGCTGCGCTGCAGTCAAATACCATTATGCTCGGGGTTACGTAATTATCTTTCCGATACACTTGCTGACTCTTCTGAGAACGCTAACACTTTCTGAAGAAAGAAAGCGATTCAAAGTCGGAAGAAAAAAGTGCAGAAGGGCTGGGATAGAGCCGAATTGCGCCAAATCGGTGCTCACCAGGGAGCCGCAACGCAATCGCCGCGCACCCTCGATCGGCCGATTCTTATTGCGCCTATAAGCGTTATAAGGGTTGGCCGATCCTTATGAAGTATGGAGATATATTAAGTTCATGCTGAATATAAGCTTGTTATAAGCTTGTTTCATCTCCCAAATCTAGGGGTTTTCATTAAGCTGCGCTGCAGATCTCGAT